AGATGACCTCTGCAAAGTATGTGGAGTTTATGACTGGCCACTTTCTTCCCTGGTACAGAAGGAAGAACTATGCTTAACAAAATCATCTTCATGCATGTGGTGGTGCATGACAATGCACCATCTCATACTGCAAAGAATACCTCTGCATCATGGCTGTTATGGGGATAAAAGGAGAGAAAGTCATGGTGTGGCCTCCATCCTCCCCTGACCTCAATCCTATTGAGAACCTTTGGAGCATCCTCAAGCAAAAGATCTATGAGGGTGGGAGGCAGTTTACATCCAAACAGCAGCTCTGGGAGGCTATTCTGACATCTTGCAAACAAATTCAAGCAGAAAAGTTCAATGGATGCAAAACTTGTGAAGCTGCTATCAAATAAGGGCTCCTATGTTACAATGTAACGTGACCTGTTCAAAATGTTTAAAAAGTTAAAATTTTGTTAGAAGCTTGATTGAAATAGCTTTTGATTTCAGTAAATATGCTGCTGCAAACACAACAAATGACAAATTTCAGTTCTTTACAACCTATAAAGTGTTTTGAAACTTCCTGTGCGGAATAATTTGGAACAGTGCATTGTAATTTTTTTATGTTTAAAAAGAAACCTGTTATTAGCAGGTTTGTTCAATAAACTTTGAATTGTACTCTTAATAGTTGATAACATGAGAATTATGCTGACTGTTATTTACATCAATTATTTAGGGAATTGAGAAAAATATAATTTGCATAATAATTGGAACACGGTGTAGATGAGAACCTTTCCATGTGGCACCATTTCCATGTGGTATAGGTACATAGACAACGTATTTCTCATCTGGGAGCGACCTGAGGAGATGTTATTGGAATGTATTCAAAAAATTAACAATAACAGTCATAACTTAAAATCTACCATGTCTCATAGTAGGGTAACGGTTACTTTTCTGGATGTCCCCATACAGAAAGACAGCAATGGCCATCTTTCAAGTGGACTTTACCACAAGGATACTGCAGTCCGACTCTGGAATGACCTCACACCATCACATGTTTGGGGTGGGGAAGGCAGCATATGATGAGGGAGATCTTCTCCCTCATGGATGCAGGGGTGGTCACATGGTGGGCGCCATTTGGCATCCTATGGCAACTTAGGAGGCAACATCCATTATTGGCGGCACAGGTTGGATTTAATCACCTTGAATTATTAATTTTTTTGTTGTTTTATTAAAGGAGGACTTGTTCAGAGACTGTCTTCTGTCATTTTTTACACTTTTTTTGTGAATGAGTAGCAGTCAGGGGCTGACTTACCATTTGGGAACTCGGGCACGCAGTAGGGGGCCCCATGAGACGCCCCTGGTACCTTTTCATAGGTTTTTTGGGGTGTAGTTTGAGTGTGGGTGAGGTCACAGGGGCCCCATGATCCCCTGTTGCCTGGGGGCCCCATGAGTTGTCAGTCCACCCCTGGTAGCAATACCATATACCCCATAATCATTCACATGGGGGGGAGCCAGGATTGTGGGAAAGAGGTCTTTGTCCCCATCTACATGGAGACAAAGTGCTTTGGGGGGGGAGTCCCCCTGTACCAAGGCACCCCCCTATGTTGATAGCCTGGTATGGTTCGGGGAGGGGGGCACTCGCTCATCCCACCCCTCTCCTGACCTGCCGGGCTGCATGCTCGGATAAGGGTCAGGTATGGATTTTGGGGGAGGACCCCACGTAATTTCTATTTTAAATATTGGCATTGTTTTGCCTCAAAATCCATAACAGACCCAAAGGGCTTGGTATGGATGGGGGGGAATCCCTTGCCACTTTTTTGCTAAATTGCCACCAATTCTTTTTACATTCAGCTGCCAGTAGGGAACCCCAGCTGAAACATTAATGCACGGTTTCTCTGCCAAAATAACTTATTTTATTAAGGCATGCAGTATTTTAGTAGTGATTTTTAGTGAATGCCAACAATATTTGGGAAAAATGTTGTGCGGTATCGTGCCGCATACTCAGATGCGGTAAGATACCACTTAGTGTATTGCCCCCTGGGTTCAAAAATCGCGGTCGAACTTCTGTTAGGTTCTAATGTTTGACCACAAACTGAACAGGGGGGTGTTCAGGTCCATCACTAATTTTAACATACTGTATAATGGGGTGTTTAGGAAATTTTGGAAAATAAAGTATATAACTTTTTATATACGAATACCTGTGTGGTACTTTATCAACTGCATTAAAGTCCCAAGGTTTTTTTTTTTTTTATTCCTTGTATTTTGGGGGGACGAGCAGCCGATACTCTAATTTTTCCTATTGTATCGGTTATTCCTTGGATCAGCTTTACCTATAATGAGATGACGTACCTGCATCCAAAGCGATACTAGCGGTTTCTGCAATTGGCTGGATAATCAGTGATCTGGCTAGAGAGCCGCAGGTCTGTAAGGAAATAAAAGAAATTCAACAGAAATTCCAGACAAGTGAAATCGATGAAGGATGCAAACTGTATCCAAGAAACACCACAGCTATGCTAAAGTCACAACGTCCCCTTCATGTTCCTTTATCTGTGTTATCCCCACAATGGAAACAGTGGAGGATGCGGGCGCACCAGGTTCTTCCATCACTCCAATGGTGAGACATCCCTGGAATAGTCTCTCAAAATCATATTCCCCAATGGACTACTTATTCTACATTGTATCATGGCATTATGACACCATCAATTGTCTTTGTTACGGATAAGATTGGGTTTGGGCTGAACCTAAGCTCATCCCTGACTCATGTTATGACTGCAGCATATGGGCAGAACTGTGAATTATGGTGGTGGTGGTGGTGGTGGTGGTGGTATCTCAATATCTCAATATCAGAAGCCAAAATAGGATTTAATTCCCCACTTTTGTATGGAGTTGGCCATTAATTCATCTTTCATGCTCATTTCACACTGCAATGTTCTGCCTGCTTGGTTTGCAAAAACAGAAGAAATCATAAGGGAATCTGGCATCCTTAAAGTGGAACTTCACCCAGAAAAAAGGGAAATTCTGTTTTTTTTTCCTCCCCATCTCTCTGCCATATTTGGAACATTTTTTTGACTGGAGGGGGAGTGAGCACTTCGTTTTGACAGGTACCCGCTCCCATTTGTGCTCGGATCACGTAGACGATCCAAGTGGAAGTTATTCCTCCTTTCAGTACCTACAACCTTCTGGGACACATCACAGGTTCCAGGAGGCTGTGGGACCATTCACAAAAGGCAGCATGGCAGTGGGAAGCCTGCTGTGAAGCTGCAAGGAGTCAGAGCCTGCCTCTCACAGTTAGCATGCCTGCGCCGCCAGGGACCAAAGACCGGTGAAGGATGGTGCTGGATCCCTGAACAGTTGAGTGTCTGTTTATTAAAAGTCAGTTTTTGTTGCTGCTGACTTTTAATTTTTAAAGAAATGACTGAAGATCTGCTTTAACCTCTTGGCGCAGTCCTTCTGGCGTCTGGGCCCTGACGCCGAGCGGCTGCACATTTACGTGCAATTAAGAAAAATATATGTGCTGAGAGCGCGCGCCCTGCGCGTTCCCAGCATACATGTCCAGTACTCACAGAAAGGTCCCAATCTCCTCTTGCGATCAGGACCTTTCCCGATCATGTGACCGTGTCAGAGAATCATGGCAGTCACATGACCCTAAAACCCTTCCCCACCTCCCGGCTTCTGAAACCCTTAAAGGGCCAGGAGGACTCGGTGCCAAGGGGTTAAGCTTGGTGGTGTGGTTTTTTTCCTTTTTTTGTTTTTCATTTTTCAATCCATAAGCACCTCCAAGCATCTAAATAAGGCCATGCAAATATAAGAAAGCCAACTGTGGACATTGGGGCACCACAGTGACTTAATAGTTAGCACTCTTGCCTTGTAGCACTGGGAACTCAATTGAAATCCCAGCTAGGACACTATCTGCATGGAGTTTGCATGTTCTCCTTGTGTTTGCCTCCTCAAATGAGACAATGGTAGAATAATTGGCTGCTGTCTAATTTGGCCCTAGTGTATGTGCAAGATAGAGACCTTTACATAGAGACCTGAGATAGATTGTAAGCTCCTTGAGGGCAGGGACTGATGTGAATGTACCGCATGGAAAGCACTACATATATTGTTGGCTCCAGGTCACCAGAGGTCTGGTTATCAGGTGGAAGGAGGGATTCTTATACATAATTTACTAAAGGTTTAAATAAATGCTTTTCCTAACACCCAAACCTGCCACCCTTTAGGTTAATGGAAATTTATCCAGGGCTGAGGCTTTGAGGGTCCCTAGGACCAGTGGGCAGCTGATTGTTTGCCCATCTGGCTAAAGAAGCCCTGACTGTTCTTTCATGTACAGAAATCACAGAACATCCTCTATGTGTACGTTGAGTCTTACCGCACAATCATCAGTGCAGAGTCTAAGTTCAGCAGAGAGATAGACGGTGTTAGAACTGGTGATCTTGAAGACTTTCATAGGAAACCGAGCTTCAATGCCGACTCCATTGCTTTCCACTTTTAATTGGTCAGTAGATATATCAGTAGATGGGCACCTGGATACAGAAACCTTTCATCAGCTTTCAGTTACTGTAATCTAAAGATTAGAACACAATACTGGTACATACTAATAGAGCTGATCAATATATGGGCTGCATTCATTACTTTTATATGTGAACAATACATATATATACACATATACACAGTATATATTAAAGGTAAAAAAAACACATGGCATTTTAAATAAATATATATATATAAATTGGGTGTGGCGGTGATTAGTGACACTTTAACTGACTGATGCAGTGATCAGGGACACTGGAACTTGTGTGGCCATGATCAGGGGGCAATGGGAATAGTGTGGTCATGATCAGGGACACTGGGACTGGTGTGGCGGTGGTCAGAGGCAGTGGGAATGGTGTCACTAACTGGTGAAAGTATGTAAAAATAGTAATTTTTTTAATTACAATCTTAAAAAAAAAAAACAATTATATATATATATATATATATATATATATATATATGTACAATATATATACACACTATACTGCCAAAAGTATTGGCCCCACCCTCCAAATCATGTGATTCAGGTGTTCCAATCCCCTCCAAATCATGTGATTCAGATGCTCCAATCCCCTCCATGGACACAGGTGTATACAATCAAGCCCCTAGGCATGCATACTGCTTCTACAAACATTGGTGAAAGAATGGGTCGCTCTCAGGAGCTCAGTGACTCCAAGCGTGGTCCCGTGATAGGTGGCCACCTGGGCAATAAGTCCATCAGTGACATTTCCTGGCTACTAAATATTCCACGCTCAGCTGTTAGTGGGATTATAACAAAGTGGAAGCAACTGGAAACAACAGCCACTCAGCCACCAAGTGGTAGGCCACGTCACATGACAGGGCGGGGACAGCGCATGCTGAAGCATGCGCTCTCTACCCTCCTAAACCTTGTGGACGGCCTTCCCAGAAGAGTTGAAGCTGTTATAGCTGCAAAGGGCGGGGCCAACTCAATATTGAACCCTACAGACTAAGACTGGGGGGCCATTAAAGTTCATGTGCGTTGAAAGACAGGCGGCCCAATACTTTTGCATTTTCATTTTCATATTTTCATTTTCCAAAAATATATCAGGACTAATTGAACAAACGAAATAAAATACACCGATTTCAGTTATTTTTCTACCAAACAAAAGCAACAGACTACATTTTGGCCTAAATTTATGAAGAAGGATTATTCATTTTCAAAACTGTATAACAGAAACTAAGAAAAATGTGTTTCTTGTTTCACAATTCTCAGTTCCCTGATGATCGGTGCCCAGCAGTGCCACCCACCAGTTCTGCCCACCTGTACCCAGCAGTGCCCACCAGCGTCAGACACCAGTGCCCATCAGTGCAGCCCAGCAGTGCCGCCAGTCAGTGCCGCCTATCAGTGCTGACTATCAGTACCCATCAGCGCTAGCTCATCAGTGCCACCTATCAGTGCCACCTATCAGTGCCACCTCATTAGTGCTGCCTGTCATTGCCGCATATCACTGCCTACCAGTTCTTCCTATCAGTGCCCATCAGTGCCGCCTATCAGTGCCCATCAGTGCCGCCTATCAGTTCCCATCAGTGCCGCCTATCAGTGCCCATCAGTGCCGCCTATCAGTGCCCATCAGTGCCGCCTATCAGTGCAGTCTCATCAACGGAAATCTGTGAAGGAAAAATATTACCTGTTTGCAAAATTTTTACTTTTTTTCACATTTTTTGCTCTTTATTTTATTATAGCGCAAAAAATAAAACACCCAGCGGTGAGTAAATACCACCAAAAGAAAGCTCTATTTGTGAGAAAAAAGTGATAAAAATGTCATATGAATAAAATGTTGCATGACCGCGCAATTGTCAAAGTGTGACAGTGCTGAAAGTTGAAAATTGGCCTGGGGGGGGGGGGGGGGGGGGGGGGGGGGGGAGTGCCATGTACACATGGACACAGCATTGTAGGGAGTATGTGTAGGAGAAGAGGAAGGCAGGAAAGGGCTGTAAAAAAAGATCCCTGTGTCACTGCAACAGAATGAATGGATCAGCACCTGCAGCCCCTGATCCATTCACTTTGTGCCCATTCATAAGTACTGATCTCTCTCCACTCCATGTTGTAATGGGAAGGGGGGAGGGATCAGCACCACAAATAATACCATGTGATTGCTGTGATGACCAATCATAGGTAGGGATTACATAGTACCCAGCTCCTTGGATCATCTGGGTACAGTGTCTCTGTGTACCCAGCATTCTAATGACAGCTGGGTACACGGGAATAGGAGGGATCAGCACTGTAAACAATACCATGTGATTGCTGTGATGATCAGTCGTAGGGATTACATAGTACTCAGCTTCTCAGATCATCTGGGTACAGTATCTCTGTGTACCCAGAATAAATGGATCAGCAGCTGCAGCCCCCGATCCATTCACTCTGTGCCCATTCATAAGTACTGATCTGTCTCTGCTCCATGTTGTAATGGGAAGGGGAGGGATCGGCACTGTAAACAATACCATGTGATTTCTGTGATGATCAGTCATAGGGACTACATAGCACCCAGTTCCTAGGATCATCTGGGTACAGTGTCTCTGTTTACCCAGCCATCTAATGACAACTGGTTACACAGGAAGGGGGAGGGATAAGAACTGTAAACAATACCATGTGATTGCTGTGATAATCAGTCATAGGGACTACATAGTACCCAGCTCCTAGGATCCTCTGGATACAGTGTCTCTGTGTACCCAGCCATCTAATGACAGCTGGGTACATAGGAAGGAGAGAGATCAGCTCTGTAAACAATACTATGTGATTGCTGTGCCAATCATAGGCACTACATAGTACAGCCACTTGGATTGGCTGGATACAGTGTCTCTGTGTACCCAGCTATCTAATGCTAGTTGAGCACAAAGAGTTCATTCGGCCGATCCACTGGTCGGTGGCTGTTTATCCAGTGCTGTTTATAAATGGCGCTGGGTAAATAAAGGGCCGCTGATCCGCCATTGATACACACACAGTGCTACATAAGTGGTTAGGGGGATATATTGTTCTGGGCATTTTAGTGAAATATTTCTAGGTCAAAGTGTACAAAGAACACACAGAGCTACTAACCTGTGTGCTGTGTACTTACCCGTCCTTAAGAAGATAGTAATTGAGGGAGCTTGAGTTGGTAGGAGAGGCATAAATATTCACCACTGAGAGATTGAAGGTGTTGCCATCCAGATCTGGTACTTTTGCGGAAAGGTAAATAGTATCTTCCACAGTCACGGTGTCTTCTTCTGAGAGAAGGGTCGTATATGTGCTTTCTTTAAAGGCTGCCATTACGGCTGTATTACTTGTATCTGCTGTAAGGTCATTTATTACTGGGCTCCTGGAAAAGAAACGCACAACAAAAGGTTACCTACCTAGAACCCCTTGTAGGTATGTGGACATGCAACTATGAGAGGACGCAGAACGGAAATATTTTCCCTGAGGACAAAGAAAGAGCAAACCTATCAGATCTCTTCTCCAGCTCGGTGTATACTGGTGGGGGAGGTGAAGATGATATACAAAATGAGGATCACAAATGCACCACAAAGGATTCACATTAATATGTATAAGAAACAGACAAAATAAAAGTCATTTAGGTGACCTTGTCAGGGTGAAAAAAATTGAGAAGCGACATCCCTGCAATGGAAGAGTTTTCATACTCCCCTCTCAGGCGGTCCATGTCTCCTACCTTTCCTCCGTCCCTGTGCTGCAGCCTCCACCAGACTCTTCAGTATTCAACTGTTCCGGAAGTGTTGGATGTCTGTGTCTGCCGGCACATGCCATGGTTCCTTCCTCTGACCCCGATGTCACTACAGGACTCAGCAGAGACATCGGGGTGGATGGAAGGAACCACACAGCACGGCGGGGGGGCACTCAGGAGCGCTCAATGTCAAAGAGTCTCATGGAGGCTGCAGCACTGAAACAGAAGGAAGGGAGGAGACACGGGGTATAAAGACTCTTCTATTGCAGAGACATTTCCTCTCCATCTGACAGGGCGGCTTGGGAAGACCTGGCCCAGATGGCTTACTAGAGATGTGTGCGATGGAAACATTTGTTTCCGGGTCATTAAGTTAATACGAGGAATCTTGAAAAAGTTTCAGCACTTTTGTATGTTTTAACAAAATTTTAAAAAGTGCGGCAACTTTTTGAAGAACCCTCATAACTTTGTTTCATCATAGTCGTTATGTTAGAATGATTCGTTTTTGGAATTGGTTTTGTATATTTGGATTCATTTCATATATTTGTTATTTTCGAATTGATTCGAAATTCAAATTATGGAAGACGGCTATATTCATTCTATTCTGTTCTTTTACTTCCTATTCTATTCCATTGCTTTATTTTCTATTATTTTTGTATTCTATTCTACTCTATTTTTATGTTCTATTCAATGTTATTCTCTTCTGCTTTATTCTATTCTGTTCTATTCTATTCTTTTTTATTCTAGTCTATTCTTTTATATCATATTCTTTTATTTTCTATTCTTTTTTATTCTATTCTATTCCTTTAGTTTCTATTATATTCTGTTTTATTCTGTTCTATACATTTATTTCACATCTATTCTGTTTAATTCTGTTCTATACGTTATGTTAGAATGATTCATTTTCTGAATTTGTTTTGTATATTTGGATTTGTTTCTTATATTTGTTATTTTCAAATTGATTCAAAATTCAAATTTTGGAAGGCAGCTATATTCCATTCCATTTTTTTCTATTCTTTTTTTTGCATTTTATTACTATATTATATTATTTTATGTTCTTTGCAAATGTATCCTCTTCTGCTTTATTCTATGCTGTTCTATTCTGTGTTATTCTTTTATTTCCTATTCTTTTATTTTCTATTCTTTTATTTTTCTATTCTATTGCTTTCTTTTCTTTTATATTATGTTTTATTCTATTCTGTGTATTTATTTCAATATTTATTATTATTATTATACAGGATTTATGGCGGCCAACAGTTTGCTCAGCGCTTAACAATATAACGGGAGACAATACAGCAACAATACAGTTCAATACAAGAGGGATAGGAGAGCCCTGATCCTTGGAGCTTACAATCTAAGAGGGAGGGGCTAGTGGTACAAAAGGTAGTAACTGAGGGGGATGGACTAGTAGGAAGAGTAGAAGATTCCATTATTAGCTGAGGGCAGGATATTTTCTATTTTTTTCTTTAATATTTTGTTTAATTCTATTCTGTTCCTTTATTTTCTATTCTATTTTATATCTGTCTGAAGTTCAGCTTTAGTATTACACCTTCCTGCTCAGCCTATAGTAAAATGACGGGCAAGCTGGACATTCGCCATTCTGGGTGGACGTCGTATGATTCTATTCTCTTCTATATAGCAGTCTAAGTAGGAATCATCATCTTATTACACTTTTATACCTTACTGTATTTATTGCAATATGTTTCCTTTAGGAATTCAAATTCATTTTTAAAATTTTAACTCACTTTCAGATTCGGATAATTTGTTTCGTTATAATTTATCTCTGATTTATTGAAATTCCTTACTATTATGATTCAGAAATTCGGATACATCCCCGAATAATGAAAATTTTATCAGAATTTTGATTCCCAGCTAAACGAATCGCACATGTCTATGGCTTACACCCATGTGTCCTCAGAGAGTTGAGCTCA